TTAAGATTTATTCAGGATCCTAATGAAGAACAAAAACTTGTCTATGTCACTAAAGAGGAGAAAAGACAGCCCTCATCTCCTCCTCCTCTATCCCCACCTTTAGAAGCAAACAATTCATTTTCTCCCTTAATGGAGCACTGTCTATAAGAAGGACACAGCCTGGGAATCGATACTTGTCATATCTTTCCTGTCGTAAGAATTGGGACTCAGTCCAGACATGAAAACCTCCCATTCCCCTTGTTTGAAAGATTTAAAAAGAGCACAACAGAAAATGGCTCTGAACCCAACCTATAACAAAATGATCTTTAATTATGAAATTTTTAGGTAATTGAGGCTAATTTAATATTGTTGGTAAGAAAGGAATCAGTATGTAGAAAAAGAGATGAAGAAAGCTATGGATATGGAGATGTAGTTGTGGATAGAAAGGCTAAGGGAAAGAAAATATTTTAATGTGAGAAGGCATCTGGTACAATGTATTCTTGTCCTAGAGTAGAAAAACTGGCTATTTAAAAAGTAGGGAAGTATAGGACAAAATGAAAAGTCTAAAGCATGTCATTGAATGTCTGAGTAAGTCATGATAATGGTTTGTGTGGGTAAGTTTGTTAAATAGGTTTTACAGTAGAAGGATTGACTGGATTTGAAAGCAAATTATGTGTGAATTTTTCTAAAAATTAATATCAAAAATATTCTATACAGGGTTAAAGTTTGCTCTCCTACATTAAAACAACCAGATTTCCTGAAAACACTTAACTGCTCTTAATAAAAAATTATAAACAGTTTCTTTATCTTTTACATAACTGGCTTGGGAAACTTTTTTCATGTTTTATCATGATAATTTCTTGTGCTCTCTGCCTTTAAAATCCTTTGTCACTTTGGTTTTAATTTTCTAATGATTTGTGAGTGTTTTAAGCCTTTGTTATTTGAATAACTTTCCAAAACCAAATTTAAAAAACTCAGATTTGAACTAATTTTGGGAGGTTCCAAGGGCCTTGGAGCTTCTCAAAGGATATATAAGAGATATATCAAAATCAATTGGCTTATTTGATAAGTTAGATTATATGAAAAACATTGTCAAAACAAAAAATAATGTTCAACCTTCTTTTGTTATACTAAGATGTTATTAATATGTGTTCCAAAATTTTGTAAGGTTCTTGGAAATCTGTGTCTTGATATAAATGCTACTGGTCATAATCTTGGTTCAAGTATAATTTTAAAATGTTATGTCTTCAAAAATTTCATGAAAAAATTCTGACAGGTACAGTTTTTCAACAAACTTTTAGTTCATACCATTGAACTGAATTTCCAAAATTCTGATGAAGAAACCGATGGGTTTGTGAAATTACTCACCAAGGTCAAAACAGCAAAAGTTAATTACATAAAACTAAAGAACTGATTAAAAAGAATTATAGGTTTTTACAGTTTTTATTTTGAAACATCGCTCATTAATGTCTTGTTTTCCAGATTTAAGGAAACTATCTATAACTCACAACAGTTTGGTAAAATATAATTTAAAACAGAGATAAAAGCATTTGTTTTCTCCCTATTTGACCTCCTCCCAATTTAAAAACTTTAAGTATCTTTATGATTATTATGGCAATGTGGCTATTTTCATAAGTTCAATAAAAATCGACTCTCTCTTTATAACAGGATATAAATTAAAACTTTGGGTATAAAATAGCATGTCTCTTCTAAATTCCTGACCCCTCTTCATGTTGCCCTAACTTGGCAGAACTGCTGTTTGAACCTTCCCCCAAATGTGGTACATGACAACCTGGGAATGAGCCTTCCCAGTACTGAGGGATTGAAGCAAAGAAAAATGAAAACTTTTCAATGAGAAAATTGATCATCAATGCTTTTATGAGGAATGTTTTGATCGTACAGGGGGAAATAATATCTTGTCTACAAAAGCAGTTTTCTAAAGTTTCACGGCCTTAAAGGGGGTGCTTATGACTTGGATGAGACATCCTGTTCCTAAACAAAAGATTGTAATTGATCAAGAAATTTTACAAAGATTAGATGCTTTGGAAGCAGCGATGTCCTGGATGGGTGAACACCAACAAGCTCTTTGGACTCAAAATCAACTATTACATGGTACAGAACCCCATCCTGGAGTTTCACCAACTGGCAATAACACCCTGATTCACACCACCAGGAATGATGCTAATGCAATAGTCCTGAGAGAGGGCAACATCATCAGTCTCCACCTGGGATAAATTAAAAGGACTTGCCATGCCAAAATGATACTAACTTTGCTTTAATAAAATGTTTTTGTCTTAATGGTGCAACCTTAATATATAGCTTTTTCTTTTTACTTAAAAAAATAAAAAAAGGGGGATATGTGGAATATACTAACATTTATAAGCAAATGTATTTCACAGGGCCTAACTTTTTAGAATTGCACATAGAAGTGTTAAACTTGGGAAAGACAGAAAACTTTCCCCAGGCTAAAGTGTCTGTTCTAGATAAAGAATTGTAACACAGCAAAATTGCTGGCTCTATGGGCAGATGTTCTTGGTGTAGCTAAGCTTAATGATTGTTGCCATGATGAATATCTCACTGTACTTTTTGTAACCACCTTTGTTCCTTTTCTGTAACTTTCTTGCCTGGAGAATAAAAACAGAGAGAGAACATGATTCGTGGCTATTCCCAGGATCTTTTGTTTCTTGAAAGAATTATTCCTGGGGGTAACTGTTTTTCAGGCCTCTCACTGCTCAGAAGAAATGGGATTTGAGTAATACTTTGCATCTCAGTCACCCTGGGGGAGAGGTGACAAAGGGAATTTAGAGGATCTCAAGGCAGTTAATCAAAAGTGATCCAGGTAGGGAGTGGTCAGATTTCATAAACTAGAACAACAATTTTATTTGTGAACTATATGAGTCTGTGAAGATCATATGTGTCTGAATTATAAAATGCCAAAATAGTTTGAGCTTAGATTGTTTTGCACATAAGGATAAACCAACATTCTGGAGGCTTCCCTTATCTTTATTTACAATTATTTCCTCCAAGGTAACTGTAATTCTAATTGCTTATTTTTTGAAAATAATCTGCCTTTTTTCACTGGTTGCTTTAAGTTTTCTTTGTCTTTGTTTTCTATATTTTTGTTATAATGTGTCAAGGTGTATGAGATTCACTGGGCCTCTTGGATATGTGGCTAATGCTTTTCTTTGGTTCTAAAAATCTCTCACCACCATTAACTCTTTCTTATTGTCTATGCTCTGTCTATAATTCTAATACAGTTTCTGTTAGACCTTTTTACTGTATGTTTTATACTTCTTTTTTGTTTTACTTTTCTCCATGAAATAGGATTTATTCTTATCTATGTAAAATACAGTATCATATATATCAAATACATATATTGAATTTTTAATTTAAGATATATACTCTATATTCATTTTTTAAAAAATCTACCTTACTTTTTATGATTTCCTATTTTCTGCAGATATTTTAAAGTTTATCATTTATTTCTTAAAACATGGTAGAAATTATGGTTTTAAAATCTCTTCCAGTATTGGAAGTCTGTGTGATTTTATTTCTGCTGTATTTTGTTTTTATTAGTTGTCATTCACATTATCTTATTTCTTGTTTTGCCTGTTATGAGTTCTTGTCAGTAATTTTCACTGGAAAATTTGGTAGGAGTTCCTTGAGTCTATTGGCTGTTCTTCTAGATAGAATTTGGTTTTGGTTTTGTCAGCTACTGGGGGCACCAGATGCTGAGACCAAATTCAGGCCTTGAGCATTCTTGGTTCACCCAGTTTATGCCGACCAAAGGTTAAACTTGGTGAGAGATAGGAGGAGGTTGTCAGGGGGTTTGGTCTGTGGCCACAATTTCTTGAGTAACTTTTCTTTTTTTTGCTTTGTTCAGCCATTCTCTCTGCTGTTATGGGGAAGGGTACTTTGTGTGTCTTTGTTTTCTCACTTGAAGAGTATAGTAGCCTACCATGGACTTAATTCAACGTGGAAAATTTCTCTTCTAAGTCTTCCTGCTGCGAGTGGATTCTGAGCCTTGACTTCTTTCTTTTTCACTCTACATGGGCTGGGAATCAGGTTCCAAATGGGCAACATTGACAGAGGCCTCGAGGCAGCTTTGGTGCTCTTTAACATTTCATTGATATAAATTTAAGGTTGCAGGCTTTCCTCTAAAATTGATCTTATAGTTCCAGCTGACTTTCCAGCTTTTTAATGCCTTTAAGATGGTTTTTGTTTTGTTCCATTCTTTAATGTAGCATTTTTCTTTGTTTTCAGAAAAAGGCTGATCCAAATAGCCCAATTCACCATTAGCAGAACCAATCTCTCTGTTCTCTGCTCTTCACTTCTGCTTTCTGAGGTCCTGGTGCATTCAAATGCTCAATATTTTTTAGAATCTTCCATATGAAATATCTTGCTTCTATCAGAACTCCCTTTTCCTTAGGTAGTTCGTTTTCAGTTTCCTCAGCAATGTTTGATGTATCTTGTTGACTTTTTCTCACCATGTGGATCCATACCTTTTACATTATTTACACAAATTTTAGTGGTATTTTAGAAAGAGCATAAATAAATGCCTGTTTTCAATCTTTACCTATCATAAACAAGTACCTGTATCTAATATTTATCAGAAGTCCAGCCTAAATATTAAAACCAAATCAAAAACAATAAACAAATTCTACCTGGGATTCTAAGTTATGTCTAGGACTATGAACTGTGACCAACCATACTGCTATACCTGCATCTTTTCTTTTAGTGTATCACTTTATCTTTGTATTTATATTAAACTCATCTGGGTGCACATTTTATCTCTTCTACTCATGTATGAATTTCTAAAGGTGGGAGTTACAATGTGTTTGTTTTTCTATTTCACAATGCCTGGAATAATGTCTATCAAATATTAAGGATTTTGTAAATGTTTGTGAATAAAAGAAAATACGTGTATATCTACAATATTATCGGGATGGCCCTGCTTGGGTGCTCATAAGTCTTTTTGATTAAATCATTTACTCCTCACTCTAAAAATGCAACATACTTACAATGAATAGGATGGTAATAGCATCGCACTGAATGACATCTGAGGAATAGCCACAAATGTAGTCTTTATCTAGAGTGTAACCAAATGCAAGGAGAGTGATTCCAGTTATTGCTCCCAGGGCGCTAAGTGAATTCATTACTCGGCTCACTGCCACCTGCAATAGAATAAAAACATGACACAATGACTCAGGGCCAGCCTGTGCTATAAGCAAAGCAATAGGTGTGAAGAATAGAGAGAGGATTATAGCCATAGCATCACAATGCCAAGAAGCAGCCATGTGATCATATGCAGGCCACTTGATTTCTTTGAGTTTCAGGCCCTCATCTACAGAATGAGGGTATCCGGTGAACTTTTAATAACCTTTCCATTCCCCACATTGTGTAGCTAAGTTAATTCCCATTCAATTGGGGTGGTGGGGGCATGGTACACACAGCACTGAGGAGGTACTTAGGGGTAGCTGTGTTGCATTACATTTTGATGCTCTGGTAAAATTTATGGTCAACATTTTTGTTTTAAGACTCTTGTGTTTAAACATTGCATTTCTCTGTCTTTTTATTTCTTCCTAAAACTTACAGATGTTCTTTGCTGAAAATCATTTGTTGTCTTATTAGTTCATAATCTCATGTCTCTGATGCTTTGAGCAAAGATATTCTACTTATAATTTGTCTGCAAGTCACAGTTTTACATTTATTAGCACTGTATTATTTCAAGATTCTGCATATGGTTTAATTAAGTTGTCTACAGTGTGCCTTTTATATGAGACTGCCAAAGTGTCTGGTATGCAGTAGGTGTCAAAAATACCCACAGAAAGGATGAATGAGTGACTAACTCAAATGCTGAGACCCATTCTATCATTAAATGGCTGCAGAACTTGGACAAGTTGTTTAACTATTCTATGAATCAGTGTCTTCATATATAAAATAATTAAATGGGATGACCTAGAAAACACTCTTCTGACACTAATAGTTTATGATTCTATAGAGACAGGAAGCAAGTGTCATCGACTGGTATCAGTACTTGACAGCTGGTGGAATTATAGTGGGCTAATGATTCTCCAAACTCATTTTAAAAGTTAGAATGAATTATTTTAAAGTTATAAATTTTTAATTAACGTAGAAATAGAACTCACCAGAGTTTCTGTGGTTTTTCTTTTTATCGCAATTAGGAAGGCTCCAGAATTAATGAACTGTTAAAAAAAAAAGAACCTTAATGAAGGATGTATTTAGCTGACGTTAAGGAGTTCTCACAGAATAGACCTCTATGCATGTCTTTTACATGCCCTCCAACCAAGTTCACACAATCCTCAGGTCAGGGAGCAGGATGAGTTGCCCTGTATGACTGTCAACACATGAATAGTGGACAATACACTTGACTGGAAATTTGCTTTAGCCTTTACTATTTATTTAAACAGGAGATTTTTAAAAACCTTATTGGGCTATCGTTTTCTCATCCATCTTCCTTTTATAACTATCATGGACTCAAGCTTTGATATCATGACACACTGGGGCCAAATCAGTTTACAATCAGTAAGATCCGATTCCATATTATTGCAATCCAATATGTTCCCTTGGATGGGAACATAAGGTGAAGTTGCGGTTAATATGCTGGTAATTTAAGAAAAAGTCCCAAGATTCTGCATGGAGGGGAATCAAATGTGGTGGCATCATTATCTAGAGGAAATTCCAAATCTGATTACAGCACATTGTGTTTAAATTTCTAGTTCCTTTGTGGATATTTCTCCAGCTTCCCTCAATCCTCCAGCCCTTGTGCTGAGCTCTTGCATGTCACAGAATGGAAGTGCTCTCCCACACCTTCAGCCTTTTGCTCATTCTTGTCCCTTGTCATGCAATAAAACATCCCTAACCCTACACCCAGGCATCCCCTACTCCCTTACTCTGTGTACTCTTCCCTGATTAGCCACTTATCCTTTAGAACTCTAGAAAGTGGGAAATGTTTCTGGGCAATGTCCCTCCATTTTGTGGGTGCCTTTCCTAGCAGGGCAGACTCTGTGTCCCCTATCGTCTCTTATCACACCCTGCGCTAATTATCTGACTCTTCACTCAACTGAGACCTTGAGACCAGGGACTGTCTATTTTCTGAATCCATGCACCCCCACCCATTTTCTGGCACTAAATTAGGTACTAAATTAATGTTTATTGAATGTGATTAAATAAATGCCTCAGTGCAGCTCAAAAGGTACAGCCAAGAAGCCCTCCCGCTTCTCCACTTCTCTAAAGAATAAAGTGCTCCTTCGTCTCTGCTTACATAAGTACTTCCTGCACCTCTGTGATATTTGCTACACTGCCTTGAAATGACCTGTTTACATGTTTTCTCTATTGCTAGACTGAGGGCCCTTTGAAGGACAGGCTCATGGATTACCAGCCTTTGAGTCCTCATTTCCTTGCTCTATGTGCCTGGCTTATAATAGATAGTAACTAATTTTGAATAAATGAATGGATAAACAAACGACTTCAAGACCCAGAGGAATATTCCTAAAGGAACTTCAATTATATTCTACCCAATTATATAATATCAGTAACTCTGATTAATTAATGGAGAGCTAATTTCAACAAGGTTAAATTTTTTTTGCACTTTTCAAAGCATATAATACAACTTGATCTGGCTTATTTCATAACTAAAAATTCCCTAACATCCTGGTTGGCATGGCTTCAAATTGAACTTGGTTGACTATACTCACCAAAACAGAGCTCCAGAATGGATATCCTGAAATAAATATAAAGGGAAACCTTGGGTATGGTCTTATCAAGGTGAAAAGGAAGATAACTCCAAAAGAAAAGTTCATAATTCCCAACAGGATCTGGGTAGTCTGTAAACAGAGGAAAAAGTCATGTGAGAAAAAAGCGAAGAGGTGAGTTTACTTCTGTTTAGAAGACCTTCTCTTGGTTAACAGGATTTGGCAATTACCCTCTTTTGTGAATAAGGATAGTAGAAGTCTCTTTATGATGCTCCCAGGTGTTTTCTTAATCTCTGTATATACTATTTGGTAATAGGTCAAATGACCTAAATCAGTGCTCCTGAAAATGTGGTCTATGGACTGGCAACATCTGGATCACCTAGGAGCTACCTATGTAGACTATCAGACTCTAGCCCGTACTTACTGAATAGAATCTCCAAGTGAGGCTAGGAATCTGTGTCTTAAGAAGCTCTGCAACTCCTTAGCATACACATGTGAAAGTTTAAGAAGCACTGAATTCTAAATCCCTGTACCAGCCTGTACTCATGCAGAAGTGGTCTATCAGAAAACCTTCCTTGAGATGACCAATCCTCTGGGCCTGTTGACGTATTGTCACACTCCCATGCCCAGAGCACTCCCCATCTCTTCCGATTATTTTTTTCTCCAAGCAGCACACTTGTGATGCAACTACACTACCAGGCAGTGGCTCGACAAATGCTAGTGAAGACTCATGAGAATGTCATAGAGAGTGGCAGGTACGCAACATGTGAGTCTGTGTGCTCTGCCCTCTTGTCTTCTCAGTCTACATTCTTGGTTTGAGTAATCTCATTTGCTAACATAAAAACTATCACTTTTAAGTAGGTGAGTCCTAAATGATAGTATTTTCATCAAGTCAAACCCATCCTTTTAGCTCTTGTCAAACATCCCTACTTGATGTCCCACGAACACCTTATATTCAACATGTCCAAAAACAAGCTCAATTTTCACCCTTTAAACTTAATCTTCTTTTTGCCTTATCCATCTCTATGTTTGGCTCCATCTTCTTGTTAGGCTTGAAGTTTTAGGATCATCTTCAGTCCTTCTAATATCCCTTGATCCTAACAGTCAAAAAGTAGCCAAGCTTTCTTGTTATCTCTACTTGCAAGATCATAAATGTCTGACACCCCTACTCCCCAATTTTTGCTGTTGTGGCCAGGTGTCTGGGACACTTACTTCATAAACCCTAAGTCTCTGCCATATGTAGATATGCATGTAGAGCTTTTCTTCCATCTATGTTTTTCTCCATCTGCAGTTGATGAGTTTCCAAGAAGAGATTGGTTAATAAGAGCTCAGTCATCCCCTCCCTTCCCCTTCTCTCCTCTCCTCTTCTCTTTTCAAATGAGCTTCCACAGTAAGCACATTCTTCTGTACTTCTCAATGCCCTCAATATTAAGAGGCAAATTCTTCTCTCACAATGGGAGTTATGGGACCAAGTTAACCTCAACAGCCACTATTCATTTATCTGAATTACTAAAATTGTTTTTTAACTTGCCTTTCTGTACCAATATTTTTCTCTATTTTAAAGTAACATTCCAGAACACAACTCCTATCCAATTATTCCTCTCAGTATTGTTTGAAAAATAGTCCCAAATCTGCTGCTTGTCAGATTCACTCAGGGAAATGTTTTAAAAATACAGATTACCTAGCTGCCTACTCCTTCAGAAGTTTGATTCATTAGTTCTGGAATAAGGCCTAGGGACTCGGTAAATATTTTGTAAGCCTCCTTACATAGTTTTAATAATTTTTACATATTGAAAACTAATTGCCTACTTTATAAAGTCTAAGTAGGATTTTTGGTAATTAGTTCTCCAAATTACATTACAGCCCATATCTTTGAAAACATTTACCCTGTATCTGGACCCCCACATTTTCTTAAAGAAGGATTGGTAAGTAAAAGAAAATTAATATTTATGGAATAGATAGATGGATGGATAGAGAGATGAGCAGTTATGATATTAAAAGGATATTCTGCAAAAGCCCCATGTCATGTCAAACTGTGAGTTCTGATTTTTGACTGGGAAAATATAAAACTGTATGGTGCAATAACACAGGTTATAGAATCTGGCCTATTGATTTCGACTTGATTTTATTTTCCTTTCTTTTCTCTGTACTTGACTTGAAAAATCTTAAAGATGGTCAGTTCTGAGACTGTGACCTTCAAGAGCCCAGGGACCTTGGCTTATTTATCTAGTATTTTTTTCCTCCACAGAATCTCACTCATAAATGATATAGAAATGTGATTCATACTTTCTGTATTGATTAGAAGTAAAAGTTGGAATTAGCTCCTACCTTAAAATATGTGCCACCAGATATTTTCCCTGTCCTTCCCCCACCCCCAATAGAATGTACATTGGGGAAGTCATACTTACTCCCAAAATTTTCATTTTTGTAGCAAGTAACTTTTGACAGGGACTTTGAGTTTCATAGGCCCTGGCTGAAACGTTTGTTGACTGAAATTCAGGAACTGGGATCTCTGGAGGAAATACCAGAAACACGGGATTGTGTGTTGTGCTTGAATCCATGATGGTGTAGTTGATATTTTGAAGTGAAAGAGACTGATGTAGTTGGTACTTCAGCCTAGACCATGTTCTTTTCCTGTACCCAGGCTGTCTGGAGCACTGGCATTGTTGTGCTTTGTTTTGGAATTATAGAACCATAGAGTCACAGAGTCATAGAATCTCAAGAGTGCTTAAGATTTCAAAAAGGTTAGTAAGTAAAATGACCCGTACTGGGGATTGGAGGACCTGACCAGCAGCCCTGATTTGGTCAGGAACACATTGTGACCTTGTCACATCTCCCCTCTTGGTTTTATCTTCCTTGTATGTACATTGACCTGATTGGACTATAATCTGTAAGGACATTTTAGTTCCCAAGCAAACGGAACTGGAATAAATGCTTATACATTTACAAATGTATTATATTACAATTGTGTAAGCATTTATTCCACAGTTTTCTATCTTCAGAAGGTAGAGGACAAAACCTTTCAGGCCACACAACAAATTAGCCACTCTTTGAAATACACATAGCATTTATTTAGCTTGTCATTTTGGTTTTTTGTCACTTGATTTTAGTAGCTTCAGCTGTATAACAAACCATCCTAAAACACAGTGGCTTCCAACAAACACCATGGATTTACTTACAATTCTGTGGGTAATATTGGTGGTTATTCTAGTCTACTCCTACTCAGCTCTTCTCTGCCAGGTTCTCTCATGCATCTGTGGTCAACTGGTGGAGTGTTCCAGAATTAGATGAGTTAGGATAACCTCAGTCATATATCTGACAATTGGCCAACTTGGTTCTCCTCCAGCTCACAAATGCTTTTCAAACCTCTGCTGAGTCGTGTGTCCTAATATCCCATAGGCCTAAGTAAATCGAATAGATAACCCAGATTCAAAGGGTAAGGAAATAGACTTTGTATCTTCATGGAAGGATGTGTACTGTCAAATTGTAAGGACAAAGATAAAGGAAGGAAAATAATTTGTGTCTATTTTTACATGCTACCTTGTCATCCTCTGGTATTTCCTATTAAGATCAAGTCTTACTAAATTTAACCTCCTGATGTGACAGCCATTAGCCACTTGCCAGCTAGAAGTTTTTAAAAGATCTCCTCTCCCTTACAGTGTCTCTTCTCTGAATTTACCTTTCTCTCATTCAATTTTCCATGGATATAGAAACCTAAAGGTGATCATCCTTCATGAAAATCATCTGATGTCGGGTTAGTGTTCCCCGAGTTAAGCAAACTCTATTCCAATGTACTTTATAATTTACCATTTCACCCTCACTGCTCATGCTTCAGATTTGCTCTGGACCTTTTCCAGTTTCTGTTTTTTTTTTTTTTTTCATCTAAGCATGGTAACTATGACAATGTTCTAATAGCTATTTTGACAAAAGGTAGAAAGATTACTTTTTTATTCATGCAAGATAATTCTGATGATGCATTGGAAGACTGAATCTTTGGAGTCTAAAAACCTAGAATTAATTCCAAGTTAGGGGTCTAGGCTAAGTTATTTATTAACTTACGTATGTATTAAAACATTATATTTCTAATATGGGAATAGTAATTGTTATCTTGTAGGATTATTGTGAAAGAATTATAAAGTGTCTGGTATGAAACAGATGCTAAATAAATTGTATTTAAATAAATAAATAATAAAAACAATAGCAATAAGTATTATTTCTCTTATTCTTACCATTCTAATCATAGTTCAGATACTTTGTCTTGCTTTATGTTTGCATTATTTCCAGAGTTCATTTTTTTTTTAACCAGTTAAATGTATTTCTATGAGCTTAGCTATAAGAACACTGGAAATGTCATACTGAGTTAATCCGAAAGGTATTTTACCCCATGTCTCCATTCCTGGGTGGCTGTTGAATTCCATGGCCACTGGCTAATAAATCCCCAGCCCAATTTACACACTGATGACATGTATCTGTTTGTTACTTTTTAAAATTCCCTTATCTTTAGATTTCTTCTTATTTTCTCATCTGCTAAAACCTACTTTTTTCATGGGAATTACTCCAGTCTTAATAATGTATAATATCCTGTGTTCCTCAGTGTTCCCAAATCAAGCTCTTATTTCAAGCTTCTTATTGCTGGCTATTCCAGGCAAGTTATCATGACAAAGGGATCAAAGTTCTCTGATCCACAGTCAATGGGATTAGGTCTCTCCTTCTCATAGCCTCTCCTCTGATTCCTTTGCTAGATAGTTCCAAGAAAGGCTCTTTGTGTTCTTTCTCTCATCTCTTTCTGCAGCTGAACCTCAATTTTAAAGTTTCTCATCTTTCTCTCCGTTGCAAAATCCCCTCCTTTTAAAAGATTTATATCCAGGCTCTAGAGAGTACAGCAGTAGCATTAAACTGGTGTGACTGGATGTCACCTGCTTAGGAGTCTTCAGTTTCTCTAGTTTTCCCTTGCTCTTTAAATTATAAATAATAATAACTCTAAATCTTATCCAATAAATGTTGATAAAACCCAGTTTCTCTCTCAATGTCTCCAGATATTTCTTAGAAGGGGAAAGTAGATAGGAAAGAAGCGGAGCCCCTGTGGTTTCTAGTTTTGTCTAGCGGCCTCAGGTTCTGATTTTCTACATCTATTGAATTCTTAGTTCTCTCTGTGTATCTGGGCTTCTATGTATGATCACTCTTTCCCTAACTTCATTGTCCTGCTGGTTATCACCCTGATTCTTCACTACCCTAAAGTAGTACTAACACGATATTGCATGTATGACATACTTTATAAAGATAATAATAGCAAACACTAATACAGCACTTACAAAGGCAGGCACTGGGGATTTCCCTCTGGCTGTAGCTTCTGACATAAACTCTCTAATTCTTGTTCTTTGAATTATGCATAGATATTATATATTCCCTTTGTAACTATCCAGGGATTTTATACTCAAAGAAATAAAAAAAGATACTTTGTTTCACGTGATCAAATGGATTTTTTTTATGCCCTTACTCTCTTTCTCACCCTCCAAGAATAACAGAGGTATGTATTGGTCTGCTCAGGCTGCCATAACAAAGTACCATAGTCTGGGTGGGTTAAACTACAGAAATTGAATCCCCACAGTTCTGGAGGATGGGAAGTCCAAGATGAAGTTGTCGACCAATTTGGTTCCTTGTGAAGACTCTTTCTGGCTTTCAGATGGCTGCTTTCTTGTTACATGACCTTTCCTCAGGCGCACGCGCACGCACACACACACACACGCACACACACACACACGCACAGAGAACTACTCTGGTGTCTCTTCTTATAAAGTCTGTAATCCCACCATGAGGACTCCATCCTTATACCCTCATCTAAACCTAATACCTTCAAATATCATCACATTGAAAGTTGGGGCTTAAACATATTTTAGGAGGACAAAGTTTAGTCCACAGCATGAAGATAATTTGTATAATTTAAAATAGAGAGAGACTTTGCTGGCATAAAACATATGAAATTTATGCCATGAGAAGCAATACCTACAAGTAAAAAAATTAGTTTTATAAATGTTTCATTGTGGAAAAACTTGAATACCTACTGTGTTCCAGATATTTTTTAAATCAGTGTACAGGCATTAATTAGTCAATCTTCACAGCAATCCTGTTCTGGGTACTATTTCTATTCATCTCTTATAGATAAGGAGACTGAAGCACAGGGATTTTTAAAGGAAACTTTCCCAGAGTATCCTACCTAGTAATGTTGCTGAGTCAGTTATGATCCATTTGGTTTAGATTTAGATTCCATGGGCTGAGTTTAATGCTTCAGTTTGATGCTTTCAGTGAAACCTTAAGTTTCTGACCAGCAGCTCCACACTTGGACCCTAGGGGAGGTCAGAGTCAAAGAAAAATATCACAGGAACCCTAGGGAAAGAAAAGTATATGTGTGTGTGTGTGTGTTAGTGGGGGGAAGCCGAGTGAGAGATAAGAATTCCTAAATGTCCAAAAACACCTTGTAAATTGATGAAGAATCTAAAGAACAGGAGATCTGCACTCTCTTCAGGACTCTTTGTTTTTGTTTGATTCACCAGCAGTAAGATTATTCTTCTAGAAATGTAATGTACTTTCATGCCTTTCTAGGAATTATAAGCACAAGTGAGGGATTACATAGATAAGGATAATTCTTTTCCAGAGAGGATCTCTGTACCATATTAAAAAATAAAACATTTTTGTTCCTTGCTAGTGATATGTTTCTGTGAGGGCTTGGTGGTTATACATCTGTATTTCAGCAACTCCCTTGATTAATGCAGGTGATTTCAACTAAGGCCTTTTCCAGACTGTGACCCCAAGAGAGTGAGCATAAACTAGATGAGATGGTTAATTTTATGTGTTAACTTGAATAGGCCACAGGGTGCCCAGATATTTGGTTTACCATTATCCTGGCTGTGTCTGTGAAGGTGTGTCTGGATGAGATTAACATTTGAAATAGTGAACTGAGTGAAGCAGATTTCTCCCCCATGTCGGTGAGCCCCATTTAATTCACTGAGGGCCTGAATAGAACAAAAGGCTGAGCAAGAGGGAATTTGCTTTCTTTGCCTGATGGTTTTTGAGCTGGAAAATTGGTTTTCTGCTTTTAGACTTGGATTTGAAATGGAACTTACAATATTGGCTCTCCTGGTTCTCAGGACTTCAGACTCAGGCTGGAACTGTACCATCAGCTTTCCCGGGTTTTCAGCTAGCAGTTTGGGATCTCTCAGCCTGATAATTATGTGAGCCAAATCTTTATAAGAAATTTATCTATCTATCTCCTGTTGGTCTTGTTTTTTTGGAGAAACCTGATTAATACACTAGACGAGGGGGACTGACTAATCCCCTTACTCTTGCTCCAACCTGTGCCTCTTTGTTTTGTTAATGGTAATAACAAAAGAAATCTCTCAAGCTAGAACAGATAGTTTATTCTTTAATTTCCTCAATTCTGCACCTCTAGTTCCTTCCCCATCCTGACAGTTTTACTTCTGAATTATCTTTTCAGTCTCTCCTCTTCTGTAGAACCCTGGATCAGACACTCAGTACCTGTTCTTTCACTATTTTAGGAGTTTCC